TTACTCATCAGTCTGGAAGTTTTGTTACTAAAACATTAGTCTTACTCATCAGTCTGGAAGTTTTGTTACTAAAACATTAGTCTTACTCATCAGTCTGGAAGTTTTGTTACTAAGTAGTGAGGAGATGTAGCTAAAACATTGGTCTTACTCATCAGTCTGGAAGTTTTGTTACTAAAACATTGGTCTTACTCATCAGTCTGGAAGTTCTGTTACTAAAGTAGTGAGAAGATGTAGCTAAAACATTGGTCTTACTCATCAGTCTGGAAGTTCTGTTACTAAAGTAGTGAGAAGATGTTACTAAAACATTGGTCTTACTCATCAGTCTGGAAGTTCTGTTACTAAAGTAGTGAGAAGATGTTACTAAAACAAAAACTTCCAGACTGATGAGTAAGACCAACCAGACTGATGAGTAAGACCAATGTTTTAGCTACATCTTCTCACTACTTTAGTAACAAGTTTTGTTACTAAAACATTGGTCTTACTCATCAGTCTGGAAGTATTGTTACTAAAGTAGTGAGGAGATGTAACTAAAACATTGGTCTTACTCATCAGTCTGGAAGTTTTGGTACTAAAGTATTGAGAAGACAATATATGTTATGACTTTAAGGTGACGACTGGGATTTATAATGGATTTTGCAAAAACTTCCTAATGCTTATTATATATTAAGTTCATTATTGTTTTATAGTGCTGATTTTAATTGCCTATTAACAGTTAATGTAATTAATAGTATTGAAGCTATTTATTTCATTATATATATATATACATACACTGTGTTAGTAAATTTTAGAGGCTGAAGTTTTGAAGGGATAGAAGAGGTTGTATGTGAATTAAACATTATGCATGTACATATTTGGAGAGTTTACAGTTAGGCTCTGTTTGAATGTGTAGGTTTTACTGGGATCGACTCAGTATATGAAAAACCTAGCCACCCTGATTTGGTCATCAAAGCTGGACAGCTGAGTGTTCAGGATTCAGTGCAGTGTGTTGTTGGGTTGTTAAAAGACAAGGTAAGACCTGAGTGTTCAGGATTCAGTACAGTGTGTTGTTGGGTTGTTAAAAGACAAGGTAATACCTGAGTAAGCCCAACAACACACTGTACTGAATCCTGAACACTCAGGTCTTACCTTGTCTTTTAACATAACGGTAAACAACAACAAGTTATAAACATAAATCATGTGGCAAGCAAGTAATCACAAGTGTGTTAACATGTTTCATATAATAAAATGATAACAAACAACAAGTATACATGTATTTACATTGAAAACTAAGTATCCAACAATGTATTAAAATGAATCACAGAGACAAATAAGTAATGAACAATTTTTTAATGTGTATCACGTGGGCAGAAGTGTAACCAACAATGTATTAATGGTATCACATAACGAAGAGGTAACCATTAAAATATTAATATGAAATATGTGGACAAATATGCAAAAAGTGTACTAAGTCGTATTATGTGTACAAAAATGTAACATGTAACACATGAGTAGAAAGATAAGTAGAAGGATATTAATATCTATCACATGACATAATTGAAAATAAGGCCAAAGAAAAATATACCTGTGTTTCCTATAACATTGAATTGGAAATTAGGCTAGGTAAGTTATGTTCCTTTGTTGTAACTTTAGTGGATTAAATACATTATATTAAAATAATTTGAATATGCAAATTACCAAATCACATGAAAATCACAGGTGGTTTCAAGTTGCAGTGGAACGTAATGTATCAGAACTACATTTTCACATTGTAATGTGTTTGAAGTTTAGGTAATGTGATGCTACCAGAAACTGATCGCATTTGGAAAGTGTATGTAAGGGCCCTTTTTGATCAAGATATTCATATACCCATAGGTCGTAAAGATGTGTTCAGACTGACAAATATAATATTTTCAAAATGGGGATATACATTATACTTAAATTACATTGGAAAACAAAGGAATATGGATCAACTTGGGATACCAGAACTGTCCAGAAAGAGATCTGAAAATTGTTCTCCAGCTAAGGTAAGCAAAGCATGGTGTCTTATAACATGAAAATATATGAACATAAAGATTAGTGCCAAAAGCTGTTCATGTTGCCCCAGGCAACAGTATGCAAGATAATAAAGAAGGATCTCTGTCTGGAAAGGCAACACAAATTCTTTCCATAATATAAAGGATCTCTGTCTGGAAAGGCAACACAAGTTCTTTCCATAATATAAAGGATCTCTGTCTGGAAAGGCAACTCAAGCCACTTGTACACAAGTTCTTTCCACAATAAATCTGTTCGACTGTCACATACCTCAAGCAGCTGGAGAATGAAATGATAGGCATGCTATTCCGTATGAAGATGTACTGGTCATGTTGCTGGACACAGTGCCTATGGATTAATGTGTTAGTGAACTGTTGAAACGAGATGAATTATTGGAAACTAGCAGGAAGAGTTGTGTGCTTTTGGACATGACAGTCTTACAAAAGAGCATTTTGTTTCAAAAGTACACTGCAGGGCTATTGTCAAAATGGGAACATGGACTGGAATATCATGATGAGGCTTCAGAATTGTTTTAATTAATGTACTTAGCCTCTGTGTTTTCATGCATCTTTAAGCACCATAACTTTTGCAGGTTTCTTTAAAATTTGAAGTAATATAATTTAGTAACCTGAAATAAAAATAAGTTACCACATTAGCATATAATATATAGGCCGACTACTGTTAACCATATAATTTACAGGCCGACTACTGTTAACCATATAATTTACTCGCTGACTACTGTTAACCATATAATTTACTCGCTGACTACTGTTAACCATATAATTTACAGGCCGACTACTGTTAACCATATAATTTACAGGCTGACTACTGTTAACCATATAATTTACAGGTCAACTACCATTAACCATATAATTTACAGGCTGACTACTGTTAACCATATAATTTACAGGTCAACTACCATTAACCATATAACTTACAGGCAGACTACCATTAACCATATAACTTATAGGCCAACTACCATTAACCATATAACTTACAGGCAGACTACCATTAACCATCTAACTTATAGGCTGACTACCATTAACCATATAATTTACAGGTCAACTACCATTAACCATATAATTTGCAGGCTGACTACCATTAACCATATAACTTATAGGCCGACTACCATTAACCATATAATTTACAGGTCAACTACCATTAACCATATAACTTACAGGCAGACTACCATTAACCATATAACTTATAGGCCGACTACCATTAACCATATAACTTACTGGCCGGCTTTAACCATATAATATACAGGCCAACTACTGTTAATCATATTACTTACTGGCCGACTACCATTAACCATATAACTTACTGACTGACTACCATTAACCATATAACTTACAGGCCAACTGCCATTAACCATATAATATACAGGTCAACTACCATTAACCATATAATATACAAACTTTGTTATTATCAAGCTGGAGATCCAAGAATTATTTATTACTTCAGTTAAAATAGTTTTTAACAAGCCTCATAATAAGTAACAAATAATATAATTTATATTGGCAGGAGGATAATATTATATGGGAAAGTAAAGGATTTTTGTTACTTTTGAGAAACACAGCCTTAGGCTTTACAGTTCCTTGGATAACACGTTAACTTTCTGCTACTTTGAGAGTGTGATCTAGAACTAGCTTGAAGGAATTTAAGTGAAATAAATACTCTTTCATTGCATGTAAACAATACAGTAGTGTGATGATAAAAAACATATAAAGAAAAAAAAATGGAGACATTACATCAGTGATAATTCAGTATTTCTATAGCAGAAGGGCATTCTAATAGGTTTTATTGTAATTCACAGACTTATCAGGCCCTTGAAAAGAAAAAACCAAATTGCTAAAGTTTTCAGAGGCCTGTACGAGCCCTGTGGAATGTACCATAACAACTGACGCCCCACGATATTAACTGTTACTGTATGTATTATTGTCCTTAAGACTTTCCTAAATTCTCCATTTTAATAATAGTTTGATTTTGGAACAAGAATATAAAAATTTTCCTGTTTGTTTCCCAAATAGTATCAGGTGTTTGTATCTGTTTAGGTAATAATTCTGATGTATTTGTGATATTTGTATGACACTTGCTCATGCTGCTACATTTCCATTTCAAACTCAAATGTCATAAATACACTAGTTTCCAGTCTGAAGTCATAAATATACTAGTTTCCAGTCTGACGTCATAAATATACTAGTTTCTAGTGTAATGTCATAAATACATTAGTTTCCGTATTTATGACTTCAGACTACTAGTTTCCAGTCTGAAGTCATAAATACACTAGTTTCCAGTCTGAAGTCATAAATACACTAGTTTCCAGTGTAATGTCATAAAAATGTTTCTGGTTCACAATTGTTACAAAGATGTCATTTTGGGTCACAAATAACTATGTCATGAAAGGTGTTAGGGTCAAGTCTTTCCAAACAAGCAGGTCAGGTTATTGGAATGAAAGGTATTTTTATCTTTGGCCGAACTTACAACATTTTAACATATATTACATGAATGGAAAACTAATCAACATCGTATGGACCATATGATAACCAAAAAAATCATGTGGACCAAAAGGTAACCAATAATATATTAACATGAATCATAGACCACAAAGTAACCAACAACATGAATCTTATTGACCAAGAGGTCCCTGATGTTTTGAATTTGTACTTTTTATATCAAAAAAATTTCTGTTGGATTCAATTTTGACTCAGTTCATGGAATTTTCTTATCTTTGCACATTCTGCATCCTATGATAATAAATTTTAACTATTGTATAGAAAACATCAAATGTACTATATATATATAACTATTGTATAGAAAACATCAAATGTACTATATAACTATTGTACAGAAAACATCAAATGTACTC